TATATATATATATATATATATATACTTACTATTTTCTTAATTTTTAAAATATTTATAACAGGCTTATTTATAAAAATAATATATATTATACTGCCTAGGTTACTTTTTAAATACTTAAGTAAGTTATAGCATGTTTTAAGCTTTACTATTATAATTACTTAGTATAATAAGTTAATAAAAATATAATAATTACCCTTTATTTATAATTATTAGTAAATAACTAGTTAAAAACTAGTTATTAATAAGTTAGGATTTACTTACTTAAATTTTAATATTTTTAACTTTGGGATTTACCGCACTAATAACCTATAATAATTAAAATATTATAAAGTAACTAGTTAATAACTAGTAATTAAGTAAAGTAAAAAACTAGTTAATAATTAGTTAAACTAGCTTAGGTAATTATTTATTTTTTATAAAGTGTAATAAAATATTTAATAATACAAAAATAAAAATTAAAAAAAAAATAAAAAATTAAATAACTAAGGCGCTTTATACTAGCTACTTTTAGTTAGCCTTAGATGCCTGACCCGCGTGACCCAGTTGACCCCAACTATGGTCTCACCTACAATTATCATGCGCTTAGGCCTTCACTTTGTTTCGGCCACGCGCAATTAAATTCTCCGCTCACATCACTTGTAAAAATCCCTCTGCACTACGTTAATATGCATATCCAATGGCAAACCCCACCAGTCTATGGAGTCGCTGATTTCCTCAAATCCTTGCGGATTTCCATATTCTTTTCTATACGCTGTGCCTGTTTCCCGTGCGTGCCTTTCGCCATCGCCGAGAATCTGGACCCTTTGGTCACCCCCAGTCAAACTGCAAGTATGATTAAAACCGGTGGATTACGCACCCGAAGAAGCGAAAAGATGGCACAGAATAGATTAGGCTAAGCACAAACCCGGCCATAGAGATATGGATTTGCAATACTCCGTAAGAATCCCGAGATACCTCCTGCAAACCATACCATGTATACACCCATGTGGCCCGCCCCACCGACCGGGAACAGCCTAAATCTGCGAAACGCCATTGGATTCATTGCGCACATCAAGCCCCACCAGACTCAACTTCCTATTTGGGAGCCCGTTTTTAGGTCATCATGATTCACTGGGTTCACTCCTTGACAGCTATATAATCTTCTTTGCTACGCTATGCTCTATCGAAATCACTTCCCTTATTACAGTCAGGGATTGTTCAGCATGTGCCACCCCGACGTCGGAGCCAACGGCTGGAACGCCGTCCCCGTCGACGCAGGCGCCATCTTCGGCGACAAGCCCTTCATCAACGAGCCAAAACCCATCTTTCTCGACGAGATCAGCTTCCCCTCGGAGGACCCCATCGTCAGCAAGACAGCCGAATATGTGAAGCGCGTGCTCCACCCGCAGACCTTCAACCACTCCATGCGGGTCTACTACTTCGGTACCCATGTCTGCCCCAATCTTCATTATTATTGCCTCCTTACAAATCCACAGGAATGGCCATAACAAGACAACAATTCCCCACCCAAGCCTCCGTCCTAAACCCCTCAACATGGGCGCTAACCTGCCTCCTGCACGACCTTGGCACGGCGCCCGAGAACCTCACCGCAACGCGCATGTCCTTCGATCTCTACGGCGGGATCAAAGCCCTCCAGCTCCTTAACGACCACGGCGCAAGTACCGATCAGGCCGAAGCCGTCGCCGAGGCGATCATCCGGCACCAGGACATGGGCGTTGACGGGACGATCACGTTCCTGGGCCAACTGATTCAGCTGGCGACGCTGTATGATAACACCGGACAGCATCCGCGGATCAGGGACTACGCGAGGCTGATTCATGCTGAGACTCGCGCGGAAGTCAATGAGGCGCATCCCAGACTGGAATGGTGTCGTTTCTTCTCCGAGACGATTCGGAAGGAGGAGAGTGTCAAGCCTTGGTGTCATTCGACGCATATTGTGGGCTTTGATAAGCTGATTGAGGGGAATGGGCTTATGAGGCAGTGGGAGTAGATATTTACAAAGAATATAGGTAGATGAAGAAGAGTCCTTTTGAACCAGTGAAGATACGTAGACCTTTCCGTAAGAATGAGACGTAATAGAGTTTAGTGTGATATTGACATGATATGTATATGTTGGATATAGATATGATATGAGCCTTTACACTGCTACAGCCAATATGCCTAAGAAGTATATCTGATGAACCAATAGGAGAGAGAGAAAGGAGGATCGATAGTCCGAGCCGAATGCTCTCCTGTCGTCCAGCCGTCTTCCCCTCTTTCTCCATCACCTCCATCTCCATCAAACAAAACCCATATTCTTCATCGCCAGCAATCCACATGCTCAGAGCGTGCTGGACATGTCGCAGCCGCACCATTCAATGCGACCAGTCGCGCTTCCCCTGCCTGAAATGTGAAAAGGCCGGGTTGGAATGCCGAGACAGGAAGCCGCTGCGATGGGTCAAGGGCGTGGCAATACGGGGGAAGATGCGGGGGGATACATATGGAAGAACCCCCGCGGCCCCTGATTCTGTACAAATGCGACCTGTGCCGTCGCGCAAGATGACATACGCTGGGGAGCAGTGCCTTCGGTTTGCGCTCCAGGATCCGCGTGTACAGAATTTGGACAAGCTGTCGAGGTACTACATTGATTACTGTGAGTGTGCTGCTTCCCTTAAATAGGCGCAAGTCTTGTCCGGTCTAGTATGCTGATATCATACCAGACAGCCAGCGCATCTGCAAACTGTACATCCTGCACGACAGCAGCAGCAACCCGTTCCGCAGCCTGCTTCCCTATGCATTGGAGGATCTACCCTTGCTCAAGAGCATCAGCGCTCTTGCGGCGCGGCATTTTGCGAATACTGGGTATTTATTCGATACGACCGTGGTTGATTCCAGTGCCCATGCTTCTGCCAAATCTGCAAACGCGAATTTTGATGCACTCCGTTTCAAATCGCAGGCTATAGCCGCCTTAGCGGAAAGCCTGAGGGCGGATACCCCGAAGTCAAATGTGAAGGACACGACGATGGCAACCATCTTGCTCCTTATCTTCCTGGAGCTCCTAGAGTCGGGCTTGGATGGCTGGGATGTCCATCTAGAAGGAGCCAGAAGTCTCGTCCAGTTTTGCCAGTCGCTCAGTCGCAGTAGTGCGGGCAAGAAGCGTGGGTCTGAGATGGGCGAAGCACTAAGAGCGTTCATTGACAGACAGTATTTTCTGTATGGGTCCTTCTCGACCAGCTGAAGTCATCTTACTGACAGCAGCAGGATCGAAACTCTAGGGGCTGCTCTTTCTTCTCCCGACTCCCCATTCATGGGCCCAGATTCTGCGGGCTACCAATGTGGAGGTAACGATGGACGAGAGTCAGAGTCTATTATTCGAAGCTTCCTCGGATGCCCTGAGTTCCTACTCCGATCCATACATTTCTTCTCCAACCAAAGACATCTTATTGCGGAGGCCAACTTAGCTCTGTATAATGACGACGTTGTCAGCGACCGTATCCAAGATACCGTCGCGATGCTGGAGCTGACCCAGACGTTCGATTCCTTTGCATGGGCTTCCGGGTTCCTGCAATGCCAATCAAGTGGGTCTTCTGGGTGTCCAGCAGAGATACAGAACCTCTGTATGTTGTCCGAGGCATACAAAACAGCTACTCTACTCTACGGAAGACAAGTCATAGGCCCCCTGTCGCCGGCAACAGAGAACACAGAGAGTGAGCTGGTCCTCCAATTACTCAACCTAATCAATGCCCTCAGAGACCAAGAGACGCTGTTCAAATGCCTCCTCTGGCCGACCTTCATCGCCGGCCTCCATCTCCATTACCTGCAGGTGGAGCGAGAGCGACACCATCAGCAGATGTTCGTCCTCGATTCTCTAAGAAGGCTCTGGGACCTGACAAGTTGCCTGAATGTCATGACTGCCACGAATATTCTGAAGGGGAATTGGAGACAAAGTGCCCTTGGATTTGCAGAAACGCAGAACACACTACAAGGCGTTGTTTTGGATCGGCACTGGCTGTTGATATGATCAGAGCTGTCTGTATTTCTCACAATACCTATCAGCCTGGTCTTGTTCAAAGCCTTCCACTATGACGGCAACCACTGGATACTCTCGCCTGGAACTGGGCCTGGGACGGCCATTTCTGACTCACTTTCATGCAATGGGCGAGCCATCCTCTAGCTCTTCGCCATCCATATTATGGGGCATTATTTCTTTTTGCTCAGGGTCACTGGAGAGCAATTTCAGTTATATCGGTTAGTCCAGTCTTCTGACGATTCCAAGCACAGCGACAGTGAGAAAAAAGTTGTATATGTCATTATACAACCGACTGAAGCCTGCCTTGGTTATAACCGGTCAGCACCTGCATCACTTCCCGAGAGGCTTCCGAAAGAGGTGGAGGTGCACCTTCATTCAACATCTTACCTCCAAAGATCTATCAGAGTCGCCAGCCTGCCTTTGTCTCAAGATGGGAATAAAGCATACGACGGCTTCCTCCTCCTCAAACCATCCCATCCTCGTCCTGACTTTCGGCTCCCCCGCTGATCCACAGGCCTTCTTCGCTCTTGCCCAAAGGGTCTCTAAGAGGACTTCGGTTTTACTCTGGCAAACGAATGAACTTTCCGGCCGAAAAGACACCCATAGATTCGCGCCGGTTCAGGTTAGGGCCCTCGGTATATGATTCCTTGGAAAGTGTCCGAGGATCATTCTACATTTGTAATCAACCCGAGGCCGGCGAGTTATGATCTACCTACGTCAGTGTCTATAAAACGTCATCCCTGGAACAACAACATAAAACAACATTCATTGTGAACAGAATAAGCCAATTCCTAACTATCCTTACACCCAGAATGTCCCGCGCCGTCCTCGTCACCGGCGCAAACGGCTACATCGGCAACGCCGTCGCCCGCGCCTTCACCCGCGCCGGCTGGCTGACCTACGGCCTTGTACGGTCTGAGTCCGCAGCGCGCTCGTTAGAGCTTGAAGAAATCTTCCCGGTGCTCGGTCAGATTGACGACCTTGATTCGCACACCTCCATCCAATCTCAACTCCCCCAGACCCTCAACGCTATAGTCTCAACAACAGAGAACCTGACAGACTACACAACGCACCACAAAAACACCATTACTCTCCTCCGAACCCTCGCCCTCTCCAGCTCCGCCAACGGCGTCAAACCCCTCGTGATCCTCTCCTCAGGCTGCAAAGACTACGGCATGGGCCCTCATTACGATGGCGCTCAAGACCTCAAACCCCACACCGAAGAAAGCCCCCTAAACCCACCAGACCTGCTAAGGAACCGCACAACCATGTCCCTGGAGGTCTTGAAGAATACCGACGCATTCGCGCCCGTCCTAGTCCGTCCGACGAACGTCTACGGCCGCTCGGCAAGCTACTACCGCGGGTTCTTCGAAGTTGCGTCCCTAGCGCAGAGACTCAACCTCCCGCTGCAGATCCCCGTCCCTGCAAACTCGGTTTGCCACGCTCTGCACGTCGACGACTGTGCGGATGCGTACGTTGCGCTCGCGGCCCATCCTCGACGCGCGGAGATCTTTAATATTTCGGCGCGGGAGTACGAGACTGTAGGGAAGATTGCGGAGGCGTTGGTGGGAGAGTATGGCCTTGCGGGCGTGGAGTATGTTGACGCCGCGCACGTCGGGGCTGTAGGCAAGGCGTGGCCGCCTGCGCTGATTGATTTCCCGCAGTGGACGGGGTCCGAGAAGATAAGGAGGGTGACGCGGTGGAGGGATGTGAGGGTTCCCTTTTGTGAGGGGGTGGGTGTTTATAGACGGGCTTATGAGCGGGCTGTTGATGCGGGGCATGAGAATATTAGGAAGATGGTTGAGAGGGAGGGGATGTTTAGGAGGAAGTAAGAGGGCTTGAATTGACAATCGGTCAAGGTATATACCTAAATTGTGGCCGGGTTAGGGTGTAGGATCTGTATCCCTGGGTCCCTCGGGCAAGGAATGCATGAAGATTGGTAAAGCGTGAAGACTATCCCTCTTCATGGTTTATCTTGGCCTCTTAGCGTAAGCAGGACCATGTGATATCCAGAGATTTAGAGTGTCTAGAGAACAATCCCCCCCTTCAAGATATTATTCTTGTGGGGACGGGGGTAGAACAACTAACAAAGATACCAAGGTAGCCACAGGTATTGCAGCCTCAAGCTTCACTACTATATTTGAGAAACAGAGTAGCCACCGCTACAAGATTCGCAATTGAATCTAAATGCACTTTCCCCCAACCACCCTTGGCTGCAGTACCGGCAAATCGCTGGCCTTGCATCCTGCACTGTAGATCTGGCTGTTTGCCCAACACAAGTAGTCCTGCAAGGACAGTTTTTTTTATCTCCTCCTGGTGCAGATTAATAGATACGCAAGTTACTTCTTGTCAGAAGCCCGGAGGGCCGGGTGTCGCTCCGTACACCCCCCAGATGACTAGATCTACCCCCCTAAGCCGTATCTAACGTAAGCAACGCCCAACTAAGAACATCCCAATTAAGAAGGCGCCCGGTAACTAGGTACACCCCCCCCCCCTTGGCCTTACTAAAATGTTTAATTAAAAGGCCCTCAACGCGCTGGTACATAGTTTTCTATGGAGAATTATATATAAATAAAAGTACCTAAGAGTAAATAAATTTTAAAGCTATTTAAAGGTCTATCTGCGCGAAAAAAAGTAGAAAGATTCTTAACACGTGGGTACTTAGTTTTATATAAAGAATTGCATATAAATTAATATACTTTTAAAAAATAAAAATATATTTTTAAAACACGCTTTTTTTACTATAATAACTAATTTTTTTAATTACTCGCTCCAAGAACAACTCTAAATCTTAAAAAAATATAATAAAATACAGCCAGATTTAATTTCCTCTTTTAGTTTAGGCTAAAATTCCCTAGAAATAGCTTAGGAACTGCTGCAAGTGCTTTAGTACGCCCTCCGCGGCCTTATCCGCGGCCTTAATTTTTAATACTATTCCTAGCTACTAACTTAGTATTCAACGGATTCTTAATAACAATAACGCTATTCGCGGCCGCTGATGTCTCCTTCGTTGCCAGTTAAGGGCCTTTCGATCAGACATCTTGGTAAGGCCGAGGGGGGGGTATACCTAGTCACCGAGACTATTTAAACTAACGGGTTGGTTGTTTAGGTTGACGGGTAGCGCGCTAACTTAGCTCCTATTTTATTTTATATTAAAAAAAGGCAGGTTTTAGTAAAGCTATTTAGGTTAATAAATCACGGGAATAATAATTTTTTAGCCTTTTATTAAATTTTATTATTAAATATTAACTAGTAATAAAATTATTATAAAATTAAATTTAAATTAAATTATTTTACCCCTTATATAAATTATTATAAAACTATAAATTAAAAACCTTCCCGCGCCCGTAAATCATAATTTTAATTATAATTTTAATTATAATTTTAAATAAAATAAATTTAACTTAATTAATATTAATACTATTTTTAAACTTAATATTACCCCTAAACCTAAAGTGCTTTTTTTACCTAAAAAAACTTATAAAAAATTTAAAATTAATATTTTTTAAATAAAAACCTAGGCTTATAATTATAAATATATTATAATAAAATATTATTTTTTTAATAATAAATACCATGGCATGCTTTAATTAATTATATTTATATATAGCTTTAGCTATAAGCATATTTCAAAGTTTTAATAATAAGGGGATTTTATTATACTAGCCTTAACTAAGTAAAAAAAATATTTTAAAAGCCTTAAAATATATAAAAATTCTTATTTTTAAAATTATTAAAGCCTTAAAATATTTTTATATATATAAATAATTATTTATTTTTTATAATATTAAACTTTTACTTAGCAAATAAACTTTAATATATAAAAATATATAAAGTAAAGTATAATTATAGGCTAGTTTTAGCTAGTATTTTTACCTAGTATTAATATAATTAGCTAGTTTTATATAATAAAATAATTAAGTAAAAAATTAAAATAAATAAACTAATATATTATATACTAGGCTACTTATATAAAAATAATTTAAACTATATTTTATAGCCTTAAAATATTATAATCTTTTATTTTTAGGTAAACTAGCATAAGCTAAAAAAACCTTTATTTAAGCACTTATTAATAACCTTAAAAATTATTTACAGTAATTTACTAAGGCTAAATCAATATTAAAAAAAGCTTTACTTTTTATTTTTTATATATAAATATTTAATCTTGTTTTTAAAGTAATTCCTGTTTATTATTTTTATAAATAATATATATAAAATAAATTAATATAATTTTTTACTTATAAATATTATTAAAATAGTAATAAATAATAAAATATTTTATATAGCCTTTGCCTAGCTTAGTAATAAAAAATAAGTATTATATAAATAAGTTTTTAAATAACTTTAAAATATTTATTAATAATATAAAATTTAATCTTTAAGTTATTTTAAGCTGCTATTAAGGCCTTTTATTATTATAATAAATTAGGATTTTACTTTTTTAAATAACCTTAAAATAAAGTTCCCCTTTTTTAATTGTATATTATATTAATAGTATATTTAAAAAATATAATAGCTAAAATAAAAAAAATTCATACTAAAGGTCCACGTGAAGGTTCCTAATTTACTTAATATTTAAAGTTATTTTTAAAAGGTTTAAAATAAATGGCTTATAATAAAAAAGTGCTTTAAATTACTTTTTAATAAATAACTTATAAAGCCTTTAAAAATAAATAAAGTTAGCTTTAGGCTTATTATACTAAGTATTTAAATTTTTAGATTATATTAAAATAATATAACTTAAAAACCTAAAATAAAAATAATTTTTAACTTACTATACTAGCTACTTTTTATACTTTAATTAAAATATTATATCCCGTGTTAAAAGTAATTATATTACTTTAAAAAAATAGCTACGCGACAAGTAATTTTTTAAAAATATTTAAGTAAATTAAAAAGGTTTTTTTTTATTATTATTTATAAATATATATAAATTTTTAATAAAAAAAATACTAAAGGTCTTTAGCTTTTATAAACTTAATATTTATAAATATTTATAAATAAATATTATAATATATACTAGGGATTTTTTTGTTATTATACTTAGTTTTTACCTTTAAAAATAAAAAAAAATATTATTAAGCTATATACAGGAGCTTTATTAAAATTAATAAAATTTTTTTTATTTATATACTTATTTAGGCCCCCGGGAAAATACTTTATTTTAATTATTTTTATTATTAATAATATTTTTTTAAAAGTAATACCCCTTTAATAATTAATTTTAAGTAAATAATCTTAAATTTTAATAAAGCTTTAAATAACTAAAAAAATAATATTAAAAATACCTATAATTTATTATATTATAAAATTATAAAAGCCTATATTAAGGTAATAAGTTACTAAAAAAATAAAAGGTATAAAAATTAAAATTAAAGTTAAAAACACCTGCTTTAATAAATAAAGGTAAATTAATAATTATAAATAACCTTATTATAAAGGTAGTAATAAGTAAAAATAATAATAATTATAAATAACTTTATTGTCAAGGTCGGCCACCCCAACGGCATCCAATACTACCGTCGGGCACCGCCCTGACCCCTTTTTTTTATTAGGAACGTAGCTAGCCTTTAAAGAATTATTAATAAATTAATAAATCCTCTTTTAAATTATCTACTAATAATAATAGTAGCATGTTTAAAAACATGACTAGTTAAGTAAATAACTTAATAACTTAATTAGGCATGCTAATTAAGGTTAGGCCAGCAAACGCCAACTAAGAAATTCTTAGTATTTAAAAAGCCTATAAATCTTTATTTTTTATTTTTTATTCTTATCCCCTATTTAATTTACTTTATTATTTACTTGTTTTTTTAGTTATTTTATATTAAACTAAACAACCAACTAAACTCCCAAACTCTTAAAAGTTATTTTTATTTAGTAGTTAGCTAATAGCTTTTCTCCTCCTCTTTTAAACCTTTCCTCCTTTTAACTAACTAATAAATTTAACAAATTTACTTTTTTTATTCTCTTTTTATAACTTATTTTTTTAGTTTTTAATAAACACCTTTACGCAAACTTATTTTTTTTATTTTTTAAATAATAGTTAATAATCCTGGATAATATAAAAAGGGCTTAAACTAAATAAAATAATGCCTTAGTAATATTAGCTTACTAGCTAAAATTTTTTTAGCAGGTTAAATAGTAGTTTACAAGAGAATTTAACTTAAAAATAATATTTTTTATTAACTTTATAATATATTACATGGCTATTTTATTTTTTACTTAATACGCCTATTTCCTAATATAAAATATTAATTAGTTAGTTTTTTACTAGGTTATAAAAGACTTACTATTTTTTAGCCAAAAAATAGGAAATATATAAATTAATAAATAAAAAGCTTGAAAAATTATATATTTTATACTTATTAATTTATTCTTGCTAAAACTAGAGTAACCTTTAGGCTAAACACATGTAAGTTTTTTAATATAAACTAATAATATTATTACTTTAAAATTAACCTTTAGTTTAAAATTAATAGGGCAGGAGCAAACCACTATAATTAAAAATAATAATTTAATAACCTTATAATTATTTATTAGTAATACTAGCTAGCTATTTAACTTAGCTATTAATAAATATTTTTAAAAATTATTAATATATTTAATTTTTTTTTTTTGCTACTAATATTTCTTTATTTTTTAAATTATTTATAGGTTTATTTACTTTTTTAGCTATTACTCCTTAACCTAGCTTATTTACTTTTTAGCCTACTTAAACCTTTATATTTCCCACCAGGCTTATTAAATAGTAACTAAATACTTTAGTAGCTTATAAACTAGTAAGCTAATAAACTTAACTAATTACTAGCTATTATTTATAATATTA